AGCCCAGACGTGGGGGCAAGATCTGGACACTGGGGCGGGGGCAGGTAGGCCTGTGCCCTTGGGTGGTTGGAGTGTGAGTGAAGAGGTAACCAAACCCTTTATTCTCTAGGGGAGAAAGACCCTGATGAACTTTCTTCCACTTTTCTAAGGAAATCTGATAAAGGCAGAATGCTGGCTGTGCTATCCGGGGACACTGCTTATAAAAAGTGATCCCCTATTGACAGACTCACCTGGACTGGGAGGGCTGGGGGTGAACTACGAACACCTGGTGGGAAGCCAGGGCTTTGGGCTCCCCACAAAGTGCTGCTTTTTGTAACCGAGCATGTCCCTTGCTGAGACCTCTGGAAGCTCATGGGGCTATTATAAGAGATATCAATTCCTATATGGAGGCTGGGCCTTCTGGGCCAGGGTGGCTCCGGACCCACCCATGTTGCTGCGTTCTCTTACAGCTGAGCTGTCACACCATGGAGGACACAGTAGCCTCTGGGGTATTGTGTGGGCACCCGCTGATGGCACGCCCAGGTAAGGTGGTGCCAGGAGGGTTTGTGGGGTTTCCTGAGAATGAGGTGTCTAGCTGAATCCAAGACCACCGAGGGTAGGTGCTCAAGTGGGGAAGTCAGCAAGTGAGCCAGGGGGCTGCCTGCCTCTCCTCTCCCTAGCCTGACAGGTGTCTCCGCGAGTCTCTCCTAGTTCTGCCTTCCTGTGGCTTCCTCCAAGGCTTTTCATGGCGATCTTTACAACAGTCCTGCCAACACATCACCTTTGGAATTTATGGAAGAGGACTGCCCTTTGTGGGACAGGATCCATGCCCCAGCCCTATCTGTACCCTGGACTTTGAAGACAAACGCTCCTTGGCGCTGAAAGTCCTGCTCGAGGAGGCTCACACGGAGGGAGCCTGTTCAGGCTGGGGACTCCGGCTGCCCCCGACTTGCTGTGTGGCCATGGGCAAGGCTCTTCCTCTCTCTGGGCCTCTATTTCCTCACCTAATACCCAGGGGTAGGCTTTGTCTGGATCATCTCTGAAGCACCCATGGAAACCAGGCCAGTCTTAGCCCCAGCCAGACCTGGTTCTTTGCCCAGGCTCCTCCTCAGACTGCATGCCCTTGGGCAAGTCACCTCACCTCCCTGTGCGTGGCCTTGTCATTGTAATGTGGGGTCAGGGCCAAGGTGCCTGCCTCATGGAGTGGTTGGCGACCTAAGTGAAAGTGTCGTGGAACTAACTGGTGGGTAGGCAGCTGTGTGGCATTTCCTCGAGGAAGCTTGCTGAGGATACCTTCCACAGGGCAACGAAAATGTGTGGGAATGGGCCAGGGAAGGGGCCAGTCACTTCCCCCAAGAGCCTCAGGCTCCTGTGGGGCTGGCATGAGGGGTGTTCATCAGCACTTGGGCACCACCTCGCATGCACAGGGTGTACTCAGTGTTTGGAGCTGCCGTCAGTAGAAAAAGCCTTGGTTTGGGGGTTGGCCAAATGCAGGACAGGGCCTGGCTCTAGCCATATCTTGCCCTGTGACTCTGAGCAGGTAGCTTCACCTCCCTGGCCCTCCGTCCCCCATTGGCAAACAGGAAGGTGGGTGTGAATCCGGAACGCTGGGCCATGGTGTCCCCAGTAGGTGGGGTGGGGGACTCACCGACAAAGAGCAGTGTGAAGATGAGGGTGAGCTGGTACACGGCGTGGCCCAGGATATTCTTCATCATGGTGCGTGAGATGAGGGGCTTGTTGCGGCCATACGGCTTCCTCAGAAGCAGGGTCTCGGTGGGCGGCTCGGTGGCCAGCGCCAGCGAGGCAAACGTGTCCATGATGAGATTCACCCAGAGCATCTGCACGGCCTTCAGAGGGGAGTCCTGGGGACAGTGAATATGGAGAAGGCTGTCACGGAAAGGTCGGCCCCACCTGCTGCCACCAAGTGCCTGGTGTGGGGCTCATTGTTGAGGTCTAAGCAGCTTCCTGCTGGAGCCTGGAGGCCGCTCTGCCCGGTGGGTCTGCCTCGGCTGGCCTGCCCCCTGGGTTCCTGAGCAGCACAGAGCAGGTTCGCTGAGGCTTTCCCTGGAGAGCAGCCCAGACCTGCCCACTTTGGCTGTTCTCTCCCCCAAGGACAAAATTGGATTCCCCCAGGCCTGATGGCCACCAGCTCTCCGCTTTCTGGTAAATTTAGCCACATCCTTGCCTGCTATCTTCCCTCTTCCCCTCCATGAGTCTCACCTCTAGGCTAAGGTCAAGACCTCCCCCTGTACAGATCCCTGTCTCCTCCACCTCCCTCTTTCCCCTCAACTATCAATGGCTCTAGTCTCTCCTTCTCTACCAACAGTTCCCATGACCCTGTCTTCTTTTCACTACCATTCAATTTCTCTTTAGACTTTATCCCGCCTTGACTTAAGCAATTATTGTGTATATATATATGCTTCTAAACATAACATATTTTCATGGTAGAAAATTTGGGCAAGTAAGGAAGAGCAGAAGCTAAAACTCATTAGTGATTGTACCACCTATAGGATCCCACCGTCCACAGTCTGGGGCGGGTCCTTCCACCTCTCTGCCTGAGGCCGGGACCACACATTCACGCTGCTCTGCGCAATGGTGCCACGCAGTCTGCTCTGCCCAAAGTTGCTGAACCCATTTGTCCACCTCCTTCCCTGCACCCCCGCGTGCCCGGTCTTCAGCAACTGGCCTCTGGCCTCTCTATGTCCCCAAATGCCTTTCCCCAAGGCCACCAGTTGCCTCACTTGCACAATTGAGGAACCCATTTTCCAGCCCCATCTCACTGGCCTCGCTGTGGCGTTTGGCCACTGCCTCCTGCGTGCACCCCTGACCCCCATCTCCTCATGCTCCGTCTCCTCTCTGAATGTTCCTTTTCCTTCCACATCTTCCTCAGGGCGCTTCTCCTCTTCCCCTGCCTCTTTTTAAAGAAAAAATATTTTTATTGATTTTAGGGAGAGGGAGAGAGAGAGAGAGAGAAACGCTGATGTGAGAGCAACATTGATCGGCTGCCTCCTGCATGCCCCACACCGGGGATGGAGCCTGCAGCCAGGGCATGTGCCCCAACTGGGGATCGAATCAGCAACCTCCTGGTGCATGCTCAACCAACTGAGCCACACTGGCCAGGGCTTCCCTTGCCTCTTAAATCTGTGCTCCCCATGGCCCCTTCCTGGGCCCTGTTCTCTTTCTACACCTGCCCCCTGGCTGCAGGGGCCCCACCTCTCCCCCACATCACTCTTTTTCCAGCCCAGCCCTCTCCTTGTGGCTTTAGCTTCATCCACTGGTGAAAACACCTCCAGGAAGCCCACAGACCCTTAAAGCCCAATAGCCCGAAATGAGCTGTTCCTCATCCCTCTGTCCTCTCCGTGTACCTCCTGAGGCCCCCCTGTCTGCACCTTGTACACTCACTCACCTTCTAGGTATTTATCACAGCCCCTCCTCCTGCCCACCTCTCCACCTCTGCCCTGGCACAGTCGCACCATGCTCCTCATGCCCCTCAGCTTCTTCCTGCCATCAGCCTTCTTTGATTACATGCACCTTGGGGTTAGGGCCCCGGATCTCCCCATCAAGGTCTTCATGGCCCTGCCACCAACTTAATCTAAGATCTTACGCAAACTGATAGTCTTCCTGGAACCTCAGTTTCCCCATCTGGCATCAGTTGGTCTCCAAGAAGCCTTGTATGAGTTGCCACGCTGTGGGAGTGTCCCCCAAGCCACCACTAGAGGGAGCTTCTAATCCACAGACCAGGAGAGAAGGCCCTTGAAAGTACAGTGGTATCTCGGTTTTCAAACATCTCTGATGACAAATGTTTTGGTTTACGAATGCGGTAAACCCAGAGGTAAATGCTTCGGTTTTCGAACATGCCTCGGAAGTCGAACATGCCACACGGCTTCCACTGAGTGCAAGATCCTGAGGCCTAGGTGTCGGCTGTTGATCCCTCAGTTTTCCAACATTCCAGAACTTGAACGGTCTTCTGGAACGGATTACATTAGAAAACCGAGGCTCCACTATAGAAGGGACCCCTTTGGCCAACCCATAGGCTGACTCTCAAGGCTTGGGTACTAAATACTGCCATGCGTATCCCCAAGGGCTCAGAACAAAACAGAGGGGAGCAGTGTTCCCAGGACAACACAGCTCTTTGGGGCAGTGCTGGTCTCCGGGCGTCTGGGGGTTCCTGTGTGCAGGAATTTATCTGCCCATAAGGCCTCTAGGAGAGGCCAGGCCTTGGAATGCCCCTGTTTCCTCTCCAGGCCAGCCTGGACAGCCCTTGGAGGAGGCAGGAGGCTGCGGGAGAAATGGCAGGTACCTGGCCTGTCCATACTCTAAGGCTCAGTTTCTGCCTCTGTAAAATGGAAATCATCACTGTTTCCTGCTGCATGGGGCCAGGTGAGGGAGCAGGGAGGCCACCGATGTTGGGGCCTGTGGTTTGCTTACCCTGGGTTCAGGACCCTGGGCTGCTCAAGACCCAGACTGAGATTCTGACAGACAACTGCCTCTTCCAGTGACACAGAGTCCCCAACTCCCTCCTACTGCCCCCAACTGGTTCAGGAACCCAGGCAAATAGGCCTCACCTGACACACCCCAGGTCACAACTAAGGCCCCCTGGATCCTGCCAGCTCCTTGCTCCCCATCTGGCTGCCTGATCTCCCTTGGGCCCTGCCCTGGCCCTCCCTCCCTCTGGTCCTCTATGTGTCCAGGAGCTCTGCCTTCCCTTGAGGATCTCCTCTCCCACTTCCAGGAGCAAGGGCCAGGACTGTGCCTGCACCAGGCAGATGTGGGAGTGAGGACCGACACCTCCCACTTGCCTGGTGACCTTGGACAAACCCTGCCACATCTCTGAGCCTCATTTCCTCTGCTCCACAGGGCTGGTGCCTGCAGTTCATGGCCCTCAGCAGGCACTCCACTGATGGTGGGACAACATGGGATGCCGTGTGGGTGTCTGCTCTCCCCCAGGCTTCGGCATGCTCCGCCCTGCCTGCCCCTCGGAGGACCCACCTGTGTGATGCAGGCACCTGTGAAGGCCACAATCACAGCCACCACATTGACTGTCAGCTGGAACTGCAGGAACTTGGATATGCTGTCATAGACATTGCGGCCCCACATCACCGCCTTGACGATGCTGCTGAAGTTGTCATCTGTCAGGATGATGTCCGAGGCTTCTTTGGCCACGTCTGTGCCTGCAATGCCCTGTGGGGATGGGGACAGGAGCCTGGGTGGGTCAACCGAGGAGGGAAGCAGCTCTAGCAACACTGTCTTCACCCCCTACACATCCTCAGTCCTACACAGCCTCCTACATACATACACCCAGCTGCCAGCACAGAGAGAACATGTGGCACGCTCATGTGTGTACAGGGATGCATATGGATGTACACACACAGGATGTACTTCTGATAGACTAGCACCCTGAGGCCAGCCCTCTGCCTTCAGGAAGCCTCTCTCTGGCCCTTCCCCCACAACCCAAACCCATTACTGCAGGGAGCCTCCCTCTGTCCTTCCAGGGAGACCCTGGGGGCCAGGCTGAGCCTCTAGAGCACTGGGCACCTAAGGTGGATGGTGGGTGGGCTCAGTGTGAACTGGGGGTCCTGCACTGCCAGCTTGAGGCTGTATTGTCCATGTTCCCCTAATCCCCTGCCCATGAGCTCCTGTCAGATGCTGCCCTAGGTCCCCTGCAAGCCGCTCCTACCATGGCAAAGCCCACGTCGGCCTTCTTGAGTGCAGGACCATCATTGGTGCCATCCCCTGTCACCGCCACCACCTGCCGCTGCTCAGTGTGCGTGCTGTCGATGATACCTGCGGGACGGGGCAGGAGTATGCTCAGGGCCCTGGGATGCTCCATGGGGCAAGGACAGCCTGACCAGTCCTGACGCTCAGGAGGACACCGGGCTGGGCACAGCCTCCTGTCTGGCCTCTGCCTTGCCACCCCCATCCCTGTGGTTCTCCCCTCCTCCAGGCTCCCCTATAGCTCCCAGCGCTTGCAGGGGATGTCAGCCACCTTAGCCCAGTACTGGCTTGCAACCCTCCACAATCTGGGCTACTCACCTTTCTGGCACCCTCCCTTCTCTCTGTAGCCCATGACCACAGCATCAGCCACCCTGGCCAGAATTGCTTCCCCTTTGCCTGTGCTCCAGGGGCTCCAGGGTTTTGCCAGGTTCCTACCATGTGCTTCCCCAGCACCACCCCTCTGGGAGGTCCAGTCCCACCTGAGGAGGTCTAGACTGTGCCACCTGACCCACTGTACTGGCCTTGATCTCTCTCCAGACATTTTTCATCAATAAAATCCTCAGCAAATAACAGAATGAACAGATGACATGTGGCCCCTGTCACTGAGCTGGGGATAGTGGAAAAGGGCGGGGGAAAGATATCACTGGGCATGTGTGGAGTTTATGGGCAGGACAGAAATTTGATTGTAATCCTTGACATGTCCCTCTCTCATTCTGCACATCAACTGTATCACCAAGGCCTGAGGATCCTGGTTCCGGAATCCCTTTGAGATCCTTCCATTTCTCTCTGTCCCCATGCCTTCTACCACCAGCATCTCTGTGCCCCCTTCACTAACCCAGGGATTCCCTTCCAATTTGCACAGCAGCCCCAGGGTCTTTCTAATAACAGAGTCTGAACCTGTCCCCCCAGCACCAGCTGAGTGTCATTCTTTTGCTGATCACCTAGACTCAGAAGGACGCCTGTGTTCTTAGCTCTGCTCACCAAGTCCTCCATGGTCAGAAGTTGCCCATTCTTTGATCACCTCTTCTCTCACCCCTGGCCACCCTTAACCTGTGATTTCACTACAGGGATGGCTGTTGGTCCTGCAGCACTGGTTCCACTTGGCCCTGTCTTTGCACAGGCTATTCCCTCAGCCAGCTACCCCTGTCACCCACCTGTAGTCTCAGCTCAGAGGCCACTTTGTCTGGGAAGCCTTGTGACCCACTGAGGATCTCTGCCCTAATGAGTTCACTGCCGCTCCCATCCAGCCATGTGTCCCCCTGTCCTGAACCTGGCAAACAGTAGCAGCCTGTGGAGTGAGGGAATGAGTTCCCTGACTTCGGGCACTGTACTCCCTACCTCACCCCCAGCTCTTTGCTACTGTCAAAGTTCTACCTGCTTCAAGGCCCAGCTCCAAGGCATGTGCTCCAGGGGTTTTCCTGGCTGCTCCCTAAGCTGTTGGCTGTCCAGGACTATCCAGTCTCTGTCCACTTGGCATTTGAACTTGGTATTTGAGGCCCTCATCCCTGTTGGGTCACTTGGCCTGCCTGGGTGCTCTTCCAAGGCAGGGAAAGGGCCTATTTTTTCTCTGTGGCTCCCCAGGCTGGCACCTGCCTTTTCACAGGCCTCCTACGGCTCCCAATAGAGGGGAGAGCTGGGAGGACACCTTCCACCAGACCCCTGTCCACCACCTCCAGTGCTGGCATGGCCCTGCCACTCCACTGACATGGCCCTGTCATGCACGGTCACCAGGGGCCTTTCTAGGGTCACCTCCTATGGTCATATCCCTATCCTGTCTCTCTAGACCTCTCAGGAGCTGTTCACACTGTGGGCCACTCCTTCCTCCTCACCAGGCTTCCTTCCTTGTCTTCCTGATACCACTGCTCTTGGCTGTCCTCCCACCCCTCTGGTTGCCACTCCTTGGTCTCTGCTGACAGATCTCAGCCTCAGGTGTGAGGGTCCTTGGAGCCGGCTCCTCTGCTCTCCCTGCTCAGCATACCCCACCTGTGTCTTCATCTCTGGCCAGCTGTCTCCTGAGCCCTGACGCCACGGATGTCCAGCTGTCTTCCAGACATCACCACTTGGATGCCAGAGGGCCTTCAGCTCAGCTATCAAGTTTCCCCTCAAATCTGTCCTTTCTCTCACAATTCCTAATGCCCAGCTGCCTGCTCAAAAACCACATGGCATGCTGGTACCCAGTAGGTTCTGAAACAGGGGGAGCCTTAGGGAATCCTGGACCTTGTGTCTCCCTCATCCTTCCACCACATCCAAACAATTGCCAGGCCCAGGCCCTTTCACCACAGAAACAGTTCTCAGGTCTCCTAACTTTCAGTACACCGGTGCTGTCACCACCCCGGTCCAGGTGTCACCTCTCACAGCTGGACAATCCTGGTGGTCCTTCTGTTTTCAGGCCACTCTCCACACAGCAGGGAGTGAGCTTTCTATAACAGCGCATCTCCCTTCAAGGCCCTCCCACAGTCCCCACCCTGAGCTGACCTTGCAGGTCACTGTCCTGGAGTTCCAGGCCCTGCATGATCTGAGGCTGGTACCTCCTTCTCTGGTCTCCTCCTCTAATCTCCCTCTCTTGTTTGAGGTTCCGGCCCAGCCAATTGAACTTCTTTCCACACCTAGAAGGTTCCTGGAAGTCTTTGCCTCTGGGCTTTCATAGCGCAGTTCCCTGCCCTGTCTGAAACATAGGCCCTTTCTCCTGGACTCCCTCCTCACCTTCCATGGCCTGTGATCTGACACCTTTTTCTCCCCTCAGTGCAGCCTTTATCTCTATGTAGGAAAACCAGCTATTTAATATCTGCTGGATGGAACCTGGACCATGAATTCCAAGAGGGAAGGGTCATGGCTGCCAAAAGCAGGGCCCAGGACATATTAGTATATCCTCAATAAACATTTACCAAGACAGTGAGTGAATGAATGAACAAGTGATTGAGTAAGAAATGGGAATGGATTGGGGGGTGTCTCCTGCTTGGGTATTTGCAGTTCTGGGGTTCTGTGTTTCTGTTCCCAGGCCAGGTCTGCCTCCATTAGTGTCCTTGCGTAACACCTCTGGGAAAGGAATCCAAGATGTCCTAGGGATGCCCTCAGCCAGAGCCTTCCCTGTATGGCCATCCTACAGATGGAAACATTGAGTCCTAGAGTGGGAGGGACTTGCCCAAGGCCACAGAGTAAGTGAGTGGCAGAGCCAGGACTCAAACCCAGGGCTGTGTGACTCTGAAAGTACCCAGCATCTGGCCACCTGGGTGGACTCAACAAGGGGTGTGACCTCTATCTGGAGGGAGACAGGGAAGGAGAAAGATGCTGGCTGTTGGCTTCATCTGTCAGGTTGCTCTTCCCAGGACAGGCCATCCTCAAGGTCCTGGTTACAGAGGTTGGTTAGGGGCCTCAGAGACCAAGCAGATTAAAGGTCTCAAAATCCTAAGCTCTAGGGCCAGAGAGAGCATAAATAAATGAAGTGCACTGAGTGTCAGACAATGAGTGTTGAAGATGGAAGGCATCAAATGTGAGAGAGCAGGGTCTGTATAAAGTCATTCAAATTCAACATAAAAAAGGTGTTGTACCACCCAAGTAAAACATGTCTGTGGGCCCCATTCAGCCCTCGGGCCATGAGTTTTAGCGCCTAGATAGGCAGCCTCATTGCTCCCTATAGGAAGTGAAGCCCAGAGAGAAGATTCACAATCTCCTCATCTCACTGTGGCCTTTAGGAGGCCTCCAGGGCTGCAAAGGGGATGAGATCAGGGTGTCCCAGGTGTGGGGAGCCCCAGGCAAAAGCCCTTTTGTCCTGGAAAGAAGCTTCAGGTACCAGGGAGGAAAGTCTGGAAAGGCCTGGTACCTGGGCCTCAGAACTGCTTGTGCCCGCCCAAGTCTTACCTTTGACGAGGGTATGCTTGTCCGTGGGCGAGGAGCGAGCCAGCACCCGAAGCTTTGGCCAGATCTTGTCGATTCGCTCCTGCTCAATCTGGAGAGGGATGCAGGAGGGGGTGGGTCGGTGGGGTTGGGGAGAGAAACTGAGGCCCAGAGAAAGGAAGGGACTCGCCTAGAATCACAGGGCTCTTGACACATGGACTGGCTTCTGGACAACCATGCAGCACCCATGCTTCCCAGCCCCTCGTCCAAGCTCACACCTCTGCGTACCGTCTGCATTGGGCCACATACCTCCCCCTTCTCGTTCCGGATCCTCTGGTTGAACTCCTTGCCCTCAAGGCACAGAAAGTCCTCCCCAGGATGGATGATGCCACACTTGATGGCGATAGCCCGGGCTGTGTTGATATTGTCGCCGGTGACCATGCGGACTGTGATGCCTGCCCGCTGGCACTTTCGGATGGCTTCTGGGACCTGGGTGGGAGGGCAGGAGCCATGGGGGTGGGCACCACCTTGGGCAGTCCCTCCCTGTCTTCATGGATTCCAGAGTGAGCTCTGCTCACAGATGGCTGCACTGTAAGGGGCCTAGATCACCAGGAGATACTGATGGCATATAGACCATCTCCACCCTTGCTGTGCCATGGCAGGCATTGTTAATCAATCGTAGCACCTTCTGATTAAACCGTGATATGGTCTCAGAATTGTTCTCTGTAGAGTCCCAGGTAGCCGCCACCTATCAACCATGATAGTCCATGCTAGGATGAAACCAATGCTATCTGGACCAGGGCAAGGATCCTGAGAAAGATCCCAAAAAACACTCCCTCAAGTCTGGCCCCAGATGAGAGTATAGAACATTCTACTACTGCACAGGATCTTGTCCCTGCTTTATTCATGTGCACATTTCCTGCAGTCAATGAAAAATATGTTCGTGTATTTTCAGGTTTTTTTGGGGGGAGGGCAGGAATTGCATTTGGGGGCTTTTTATTTACAGAATGTGACACTGGCTTAGAATAAATGCAAATGATGATGTTTCATGTAATACATGACATTTCCCTGTGAGAGCAACAACTGCCTCTTGCTCTCTCTGTAATGACAGAGTAACATCTGGACCAATCAGGCCAGGTAGAGCCAGCCTCACCCCTGTCCCCTCATCCTGTCTCCAACCCTATGCAGAGCTGTGGGTTTGGCCAGCAATTAGGATGCAAAACCCAGCCTGGGGCTGCCAGAACACAGATCAACTCTAGGGACAACACAGACCAACCAAACAAAATTCTTACCCATGGACAGTGACAGATAATAAAGTAATAAGGCGATATTTGGTGCAAAACATATTTTGAGCAGGAGAGGACATGTCAAGGGCAGAAAATCCTGTGAACTAAAAGACCAAAGCACTGTAGAATCTCAGGCATGGAGGAGCTGAGTCCCACACACCCTCCTGCACATCTCAGTGCCCGGGAGCTCACTTCCACACTGGAGGTGTCTCAGGGAGCTAAAGCTTCCAAGTCATTATTGAGAGAGTTTGAAGGCTGTTTCAGGCTGAAATGTGTGTGTGTCCTCCACCCCCCACCCCAAAAATACCCTGAAATCCTCACCTGCAGGACCTCAGAATGTGACCTTACTTGGAGGTAGGGTCTTTACAGAGGTAATCAAGTTAAGATGAGGTCACTAGGGCGGACTCTCATCCAATGTGACTAATGCCTCATAAAGAGGGGAAATTTGGACATGACACACACACAGAAAGAAGGCGGAGATCAGGGTGCCGCTAAAGGTTGCCGGCAAAGCACCAGAAGCTGGGGGAGAGGCCTGGAACAGATCCTTCCCGCAGAGCCTCAGAAGGAACCAACCGACCTACATCTGATCTCAGACTTCCACCCTCCAGAACCGTGGGACAGCACAGTTCTGTTGTCTGAGCCGCCCGGTTTGTGGCATTTTGTTACAGCAGCCCTAGCAAACAGTTAGAATGTTGGTCTAAAACCTGACTGTTGATAACTCCTGCCTGCTGGTCCCCTTTCTGACCTCAGGATGTTAAGAACAAGGATCGACTTTGGAAATATCTGGCCTCTGTCCACACCATCAGCACCACCATCTCAAGTAAAGGTCATTGTCCAGCCCCTCCGCAGTCTCCCTTCCTCTGGCCTTGCCCCTCTTTTCCTTACCCTGACCACCAGCGACCTGCCTGAAGGTCAGCCTGTGGTCACCCTCCTTCAGGGGCTCCACCCTGCCTTGTAGAGAAAATCCAGACTCCTGAGGATGACCACCTTGTGGTGGAGCGAGGAACAAATGGCACAAAAAAGCAGGGTCCAGGCCCAGGTAAGGAGGCCTTTCCACTACGAGTTCCCTAGGAGACCTGCTCTGTGGTACAGGTAGTGATCTCCCTGTCACTGAGGGACTAGCACAGGCGAGCTGACCATGGTCTCTTCTAGGTGTATTTCCAGGGCAATGGAAGAGTCTTCGGGGGCCCACTCAGGAATGGGCTCATGAGCAAGGTCTCTGACTCGTGCCACAGCAGCTGCTCACACAGGCAAATGTGACCTCTTTTCATGGAGCCGGAGGGAGTGGGAATGTGGAATGTCCATGATCCTGTTTACATAATTTATCATATCCTCACAATGGCTGGTGCCCGGGCAGCAGCCCCCACTGTCTCCTGTCCCAGAGGATAGGAAGGAGCCACTGTTCTTTTGGGAACACGTATCTTATCTGGCTCCTGGCCTAAATAAGCAATTTAGTTTATATTTGTTCCAAAGAAACTTGAGGTCTTGGAGTTGGAAGGAGCTTTAGGCTATGAGTCTGACCCTGTGCTCATTGCCTAGATCTCCTCTCAGGTGTTCGTGACAGATGGTTGGCCAGCCTCTGCTTGCAATCCTCTGATGACAGGGTGCTCACTGCCTCCTAGCCTGATCCCTCCACAGTGGACAAGTCTATCGTGCCTTTCCACATACTTCACATAATTGTTCTTTTTTCAGATAAGAGAGTGATTACTCTGGGTCAGATCTGTACTCTTGTATGGAGGTAGGGTCTTTATCTTTGCTTAAGCTCTGCATAAAAGGCTCTGGGAGCACAGAGGAGGATGCTGTTACTTTAGGAGGAGGTATGTGGGGAGGAGAAATCTGTGAGAGCTTCCTGGAGGGGAGGATGTCAGAGCTGCTTCTGTTCAGCCAACACTAACCACTAACTGAGGCTCTGGTGCCTGGCAAGCTGCCTTGGCTGGGCTACATAGATGACTGGTTTATTGTGTCCTGGCTGCAGAAGACTGTCCCATGTGGTGCACAGGCAGAGAACGTGGGGAGGGTGCTGCAGACGAACTGCTGCGGGTGGCCTGGAGGGGCTGAGGAAGGGACCATGAGGCTGGAGAGGGGCCTGAGGGGCCCGAACCAGGGCCTTGCTCCTTCAGGCCTGGGAGCCTCGGTAAATTCTGAACCGGGAAGGGAGTTATTGGTGCCATGTTTTAGAAAGACTTCTGCTTTCAAGACTGCCTCGGGGAGCTAAACTCTGCCTGCCTGGAACCCCATCCTCTAGGTCTCCCCTGAATAGGTCAACTGGGGAGAAAATGCAGGAGGCTAATTATTATGGGCCCTACACTTTTCTCTGTGTAGTGGAAGCTTCCCTGCCTGGGGATAGAGGGCTCAGGGCTTTGCCCTGGGGTCCCACCCCAGCTTTGGTTTCCTCATCTGTGAAGTGGGGATGGCTGTCTCCACCCTTCAGCGAGGCTGGGGAGCTCTGTGACAAGGGCTGAACAGCACCAAGCACAGGGCCTGCAGATGCTGGTGACGTGAGTGCACCTGCACCCACACCCCAGTCTTCCTTGCTTGTACTTTTCTGCTGGGGTGGGGAGGGATGCAGAGGGGGTGCATGGATGCAGACGCAGTGGGGGTGGGTGCAGTGGGCATCTGGGCATGAGGGGGAGCTGGTGTTGGGATAGTGGGATGGATGGGCACCCCACCATGACTTTTGGGTCTGATACCTTAGGGGTCTGTGACTTGCCTCAAATGTGGGGCAGACCTGGAAACACCTGGGGACCCTGGCCACCTTGAAATACTCCACTTGCTTTCTGGGCAGTGGCCCTCCTAACTGGACACCTTTGTTGGGCTTCAGCCCTGTCCTGCTTCATGCTCTTGTGTGCTGTGCATCTACATTTCCCCCTTCGCCAGACGTTTCCTTAGGCTTTGGCTCTGGAGGGAGGGCACTGCCCATTGCTCGAACCCTCCAGGGGGCTTGGCACAGGGAAGATGCTCTGTAAATGTGGGACATTGTGAACCATCTCTTGCTTAAATCCCTTGAAGTCTGAGCTGGAACATGTGATTTTATACACAGCCAGCTGGGTGGATTTGCATGGGGACATGCAACCCTTTCACAAGTTAGCTCCAAGATCTGTTTCTGGCCTTTTTTCTTTTAAATCCAACTGGGGTATTCCCTAGTCCCCAACACTGAGCATCCCTTCCCACCTCCTTGCCTTTGCCTGTGCTGTGCCCTCTGCCTGGAATGTCCCCTTTCATGGGAAATGCTCTCTACTCATGAAGCCATCCTTGCTTCCTCCAACCTCAGGGGACGCTTCCTTCAACTGCTCTCAGTACTTCCTCCTATTGCCGCTCATTCATTTATTCGGCAAGTAGCTATTGAACATTTAATGGTTCTGGGCACTGAGGATCCAGAGATGATTAAAACTCAAGCCCTAGAGACAGCAATCTGATCGAAATATGCTTTCTACATAGATAAAATAGCTGTAAAATTAAAAAAAAGATTCCTTCTTTTGCTAAAATTATCCTAAATATTTCTCACTGAGGAAAAACAGCCAGGAAATGGGTGCTTCCTGTTTTCATTAAATAAAGGCTTTTAAACATCTGCTGTTTCTGGTGACAGCCGTTGTCTGTGACTCCAAGGGCTCCAACACCCCCGGTTAACCCAGCAAATCCCAGACCAGCACTCTCCCGACGGCTCTATCTAGGCTGGCCTCAACCAGTCTGGGAAAATGTACCCGTGGTAGCGTCCTATGGTGGTTTTTTTTTTGGCAAGTCTCTTTTTATCAGTTCTGTCCTTTGTCTTCCTGAGGGAAGAAGGCAATCTGAGATTCTCCCCCTTGACAGATGGGGAAACTATGGAGCCTGAGTTTGTTTCCCTGTGGCAGCTGTAGAACGAATCTGAACATGCTTACAGGACCCCACACGGGGTCCAAGCTGAGGTTTGCACCCTGGCCGGCCTCGAGGTTGCCCAGGAGAACCTGACACAAACACACTCACTGTAGGCACAGACATTCCCCAGGGGTCATCCAAGACACTGATGAGGGTGGCTGCCTCTGAGTGGGAACCAAGGCATTGGGGGTGAAATAGGGGCTACTTCACCCTGTCTATGTCATTGAGCCTTTTGAATTTGACTCCACCTACAATAAATTAGTTAGCCTAAAAAAAAAATCAAAATCAACACCTTCCAGTCTCCTCAGGCCCTGTGTCCCCTCTGGGAGATGCTGAATCAACAGTTTAGAGCTTTTAAACCTTCAAGCAGTGTCACCAGTAACCCTGCTGTGTCCCTTACTTGTGAACGTCCAACTTCCTCATTGTTTAGATGGGGAAACTAAGGCCCGGAAAATGATGCACCGAGGTTTTCTGTGAAGGAGTTAGCAGGGGCTGGATTAGAACCCATGTCCCTTGACTGCTGTGTCACGTCTGTAAGTCATTGCTCTCTAACACAGCTTACAACTTCCAAATCTACATCCTGGGGGTGAGCCAAGTGAGATGTGCCGACTGAAGGAAGTGAAGAAAGGCGTGAAGGTAAGGCTTCCAGTCAGCTGGTTCAGAATGTGAGAGCCTGGAAAGGGCCTAAGGGGCACCTGGGCCAACCTTCCATTTTACAGATGAGGAGACTGAGGCACAGAGAGGGGAAAAGGCTTGCTAGTGGCAGGATTGGGGCTTGGACCCAGGCCCATTTTCTTCACTGTAGAGGCCTCCAGGATGAAAGTGCACCCAGTCCTGCTGGGTGGAACAGCACCCCTCCCCTCCCCCCACAGCCTGAGCCTGAAGCCTGAGCCTCTGGATGCTCGTGCTGTCAACAGGAAATGCCGGGGACGGGGCTCAGCCCCTCTCAGGCCTCCTTTCTCCTTTCCTCACCCTCCTGATTTAGAGCTACTTGCCTTTTCTTTTTCTGTGGCACCCAGGAGAAGGTCCTGGGGCAGGAAGACAGAAAACTTGTTCTCACCTGAATTTGTTCAGCCACTTAAAACGAGACTTTGGGAATGTCACTCTCCCTGTTTGGGCCTCAGTGTTTTCATCTGCATATTGGGGGTGTGCGGAGGTGTTTGGGCTGGATCAGCAGTGCGAACCTTGAGTCACACCCTTCTGCTTTAGTGGAATGTGAAATCAGTTTAGTGGGCGGTGACCAGCATTTAAAAAGGAAAAAAAGAAATATAAGAGAATAGAAAATACTTAAGTGCATCATATTACGTTGTGAGATTCTTATTTTGGTTAAGCATGTGTGTTTACTGAGTCATAAAATACACTTCTTATTATTGCAGTCATGGCCAAAAACATGTGTGTCTGATACTACTTTCCATTCCACCTCAGTGTGAGGCAGGGTGGTGAGCCAGGAGCTCTGGGTGTGTGGGGCTGGAGAGGAGTCTGGGGATGGGAAGGACAGGGGAGTCACAGGCTGGCCTCATGCACTGTGTAGGCACAAGTCTCCATGGCTTGTGAGGAGATAACACATCAAGGTGAAGCCTGAACCCAATAGCAGCTGGTAATGAGCAGGCGTCCCGCAGTGGGGCTGAAAAATGGCCTGTCTGTCCAAGGAGAGATGCAGTCTGCAGGAAAACACATCTGGGCTCTGGTGCCAAGCACCAGGGCATTCATTGCCTTTGCTGTGTTAGGCTCTGGGTGGGAGTGAGAAAGTCTGTGCGTGTGTGTGTGTGTGTAAGATGAGCACCAGGCACAGTGTTAGAAGGTTGGGGTTCAAGTCTCATCCATTCTCATTCATTCTTTTCCCAAACACTTATCTAGCACCTTCCTTAAGCCAAGTTCTGTATTAGGGACTGCTATGTGTCACTGGACCCAGAATAATGCATCTACTGGGGAGGAGCAGAAAGGAAGGAGACCCACATTTATGGACCACCTATCTTGTGCCAGACAGCCTTCCTGTTGCTTACTGTATGTACATGATCTGATGAAATACAGTATCCCTGGGTGTGTGTGCGTGCAGAATACTATTATCCAATTTATAGTTGAGAAAATGGAGGCTCAGAGAGGTTATGTAACTGGTTCAAGGTCACACAGCCAGTAATGCTAGGACTCAGGATCCCAGGTCTGTCTGATGCCTGAGCTCACACACTTAACTCCTCTCCCTGCCGCCTAAATGTAAAAGTCCAAGTCTGTAAGTAACCTTGTTTCTTTTGGTCTTTGGAACCAACATTGTGGCTGGAAACTTGGTGAGCATTTGTCTACCTCCTTTCACTTGAAAGAAGGGAAAACAGAGGCTCCAAGAGGACCAGGGAATGGCCAGAGGCTCCCAGAAAATGGAGTCAGGGCAAGTGGGGAAGACTGAAGTTCCCTTGGTGGAGGGAGGTGGCCCGTGGGGCACTGTCACCAAATCCTGTAGATATGGCCAATCTGGACCCAGCCGGGGCCTGGCCAGGGAATCAGGTCTGGACCCAGCAGCTGTGTTAGTCCTTGGAGGAAGGGGAGGCCGGCCCCTCCTGTGCCTTGCCTCGTGTCCTGAGCGCTGACCTCTGGGCCCTGCAGGGTAAGCTGACTCACTCTGCCTGCCCACATCAGTGTTTTGGAGATTTGAGGTAGCTCCCTCTTCTCCCCACAGCCTCTTGTTGGCCTGGGCAGCCTGACTAACCACACACATCCCATCCTTCCCAACCCTGCAAATCCCCAGCACTGAGTTTTTGGCACAGATTCAGCTAAAGGAGACTGAAGACCTACTGTAAGCTGAGCACTGCATTAGGTGCACTTAGTACATCACCTGCCTCGATCCTTATGGGGAGGGGTGTGCTGCCGTCATTCCCCTACCCTTTAGTGTGAGAATCTGACCTTCCGTTAACTTTCTAGCTCTGTTCCCCTGGAAACCTGATAAAGGTAGACTGTCAGCTGTGACCCTAGGCAAGCCGGCGAGTATGAACTGATTGATAAACTGGATCTGGACTGGGAGAACTCTAAATGCTGATGGGGACACCACACTTGGGGTTTTCCTGAGCCTGGTAACCTTTGTTACTGGCCGTCTTCTTTGCAGGGACCTAGGAATCTAGGCCTATGAATTTGTTACAGGAGATCCTGGCTCCTGTGGGGCAAGGGGCTTCTGAAACAGGGCAGCACTCACGCCTGTGCCTTGGGGGCCAGTGGGAAGGTTTTGGGTGGTTGGGCGGACGGCTCCAGGACTGCTGGCATGCTGTGGGTTCTGCCTTATAACCTGAACAGATCGATGCCAAGTTTGGCCTATGCTGGCCTGATGAGTCTGATGTTTAAGAGGAGGTAAGAAGGCCCTAGGGCTGTCACAGGGTAACTGAGGCTCAGAGAGGTGAGGCGACTTATGCCAGGTCCCCCAGCCAGCTGGACTCCCAGTCTCGACCCTTTTCCCTGATCTGCTGGTGGGGGGCCTACCTCAGGCCGCACGGGGTCCTCGATGCCCACCACGCAGATGCAGGTGAGGTCGTTCAGGATGTCATTCTCATTATCCCAGTCAGGCTCGGGGCTGCTGGGGAAGTCGCGGTAGGCCACACAGATGGTGCGGAGCCCGTCACAGGCCATGGGCTCAATCACCTTCTTCACCATCTCATCACGGTCACGGGGCCGGAAGACCCGGGGCTCGCCTGCCCCGTTGAGGATTTTGCAGCACCTGGGGGAAGGCAGGACGGAGATGGGTAAGGTGCAGCCGAGGGCCCAAGGGTCTTTCCTCTGACTGGCTCAAGCTCACCTCCCTCTCCCCAGTGATGCCCAGCTGGCTGTGGTGGGTCATCCAGTGCCTGTCCAGTCCATCTCCCATAACGCTTCGGGGCTGGTCCATGGCCCCAGGCAGGGATAAAATTGGGACCAGTCAAAAAGAAATCAGTCAGCTTTCTTGTAATATCTGCCCCAGTCCACTCAGCAAGAGCAGGTTTACTTTGATAGGTTTTATATTCACAAGATTTCATCTGAAAAAAGTCCCACAGCTAAAATGGCATTTAAAGGGCATAAAACATAGGCTAGAGGTTCTGTTTCGTTTTTTTAAAATCCTCATTCGAGGATATTTTTGCCATTGCTTTTCAGAGAGAGTAGAAGGGAGAGAGAGAGAGATAGACACATAGATGTGAAAGACACATTGATTGCTTGCCTCCGCACGTGCCCAGCCAGGGGCCAGGGATTGAGCCTGCAACCGAGGTACGTGCCCTTGGCTGGAATTGAACCTGGGACCCTTCAGTCCGCAGGCCAGTGCTCTAACCACTGAGCCAAACTGGCTAGAGGTTCTTGATGCTGCTTGCACATTAGCACGGCATGGGGGGAACATTGAATAAATAAATGCCCATGTGTGAGCCCTACCCCAGAGATTCCAATTCAGTTTATCTGGGGTGAGTCCAAGAATCAATGGTTTTTAAAAGCTCCTTGGGGTGATTCTAGTGTGTAGCCAGGGTTCAGAGCCACTAGGCTAGACCCATCCCCTCAAGGTACATGTGGGGAAACTGAGGCCTGGAGGGGGGGTGACTTGGTTAGTTCTCTAGGCTTATTTCTGGCACCTGGAGTTAGAGGAGGCTGGCTGACAGTGAAAAGCACCACCATCGACCAACTCTGTACTAAGGGAAGTGAAATAAGAGAAATCTAACTGATAATGCATAGAACTTCCTATTAAGAGAGGAGGAGGAGGACTCTGTATAGAGATTTTTAAGAGGAAATAGTGGAAAAAACACTGGGCAAGGGGCCCTGGAGGTGGTCTTGCTGTGGAATGGTGGGCAGGGCCCTCTTTGAGCCTCTGGGTACCAGATGGCTCCTCTGGCTGGGCCCAGTACAGTCGGAGCTGTGTCACCCTACGGTCCCTGCTTCCCACACCCCAGCCCGCTCCCTGTGCCACTTACTTCTTGAGCACGATCTCAGATGCGCCCTTGCTGTACATGCGGAAGCTCTCGTCGGGCAGCTTAATGACTGTGCTCATGGACTTGCGCACAGAGTTGAATGTGTACACTTTGTACAGCTTCTCCTCTGGCATCTGGCTGCGCACAGCCTCGTAGTCCTGCTTCAGGTCCAGCACGAAGCCCAGCAGGCCACACTCAGTCTTGTTGCCCACCTGCCGAGGCAGTGCCCCCTCCTTCTCCGGTGGCTGTGAAGACAGAGGTGGGGTGTGTGTGCACAGGAGGTTGCCTCTGTGGTCTGAGGGGTGGGGGCCAGCCTCTGGCCACCCCTTCTCCCCTCAGCCAGCTCTTTGCCCTTCCCCTGCACCCTCAGCCCTCTGCATCGCAGACACAATCCTGGCTCTGGATGCAAGGAGTTATGCAAGATCAACTTTTTAAAAAATTATGAGCTATTTCAAACATAAAACACATGATAGAGAATATTAAGAACCTTAGCATTATGCCATATTTGCTTCAGATTTTTCTTTTCTAAGAAGGAAAATAAGACAGATAAAATTGAATCTCCCCCCATGTTCTCTCTCCATCTGCATAATCCACTCCTTGTCCCAGAAAGAACCTCTGTCTTAAATTTAGCATTCATCGTTACCTTGTCTTTTTTTTTTTTTTCCTTAAACAGTGGAAATTAATTTTCCCACAGTTCTGGAGGCCAGAAGTCTGAGATCAAGGTGTCAGCAGGGTCGTTTTTTCTGAGGCCTCTTTCCTTGGCTTGTAGATGGCTGTTTTCTCCTTATGTCTTCACATGATCTTCCCTCTATACATGTCTGTGTCTTAATCTCTTCTTATAAGGACACCAGTCATATTGGATAAGGGCTCACCCTTATCACCTCTTTAAAGACACTATCTCTGCATATAGTCACATTCTGAGGTACTAGGAATCAGGACTTCAACAAAGGAATTTAGGGGGTCACAATTCGGCTCACAACACTTTCCAATAGGTATTAATCTTGACCAGTGCAGAGCAGTCATGGGACTTGACCATAAAGCTTTCCTCCTGCCTCTACCCTGCCCTGTCTTATCATCAGTAACAATGTCACTCCCTACCTCCCTGCTCCCTGGGATCACTTAGTAGCTCTCTCTTGTTCTGATGCAACTAAGCCAGGCTGGTATTCATGTAGGCCTGTGATTCTTCATCATGGTTGGACCCAGAATCACCTAGGAAATTTGCAAACTCTTTAAAAAATTTTTTTCAATTACAGTTTACAGTCAATATTATTTTGTATTAGTTTTGAGTGTATAGCATAGTGGTTAGACAATCATATACTTTACAAAATGTTCTCCCTGATATTTCCAGTACCCAACTGGCACCATACATAGTTATTATATTATTGACTATATTCCCTAAGCTGTATTTTACATCCCCATGATTATTTTGTAACTATCAATCTTTACTTCTCAATCCCTTCACCTTTTTAACCCAGTCCCCCAACTTCCCCGCCCCCTGCCAACTATTAGTCTATTCTCTGTACCTATGAGTCTGTTTGTTTGCTTATATTGTTCTTTAGATTCTACATATAAGTGACATCATATGGTAATTGTCTTTCTCTGACTGACTTATTTTACTTAGCATAATATCCTCTAGGTCCATCCATGCTATCACAAATGGTAAGATTTTGTTCTTTTTTATGGCTGTTTATTATTCATATTTTTTATCTCTTTTTTCCTTTTACTTAAAGAAGATCCTTTAACAGTTCTTGTAATACTGCTTTGGTGGTGATGACTCCTTTAGCTTTTTCTTATCTGGGAAGCTCTTTATCCATCCTTCAATTCTAAATGATAACTTTGCTGGGTAGAGTAATCTTGGTTGTAGGTCCTTGCTTTTCATTGCTTTGAATATTTTGTGCCAATCCCTTCTGACCTGTGAAGTTTCTGTTGAGAAATCAGCTGATAGTCTTATGGGAGCTCCCTTGTAGGTAACTAACTGCTTTTCTCTTGCTGCTTTTAAGATTCTCTCTTTGCCTTTAACCTTTGTCATTTTAATTATGATGTGTCTTGGTGTGGGTTTCTTTGGGTTCTTCTTGTTTGGGACTTTCTATACTTCCTGGATTTATATATGTCTATTTCTTTCACCAGGTTAAGGAAGTTTTCTGTCATTATTTTTCAAATAGGTTTGTCACTCATGGAGGTATAGAGTTGTAATCCAGCATGATCTGAAGTTGTCCACCAGGTGCACTGGCTCTGGGGCCTCCTGGGAGGTGCAAGGTCAACCACCATCTGTGCCTTGCCTAGGGCTATCTGTCACGAGCTACAGAGTTATCTGAAGATGGCTGCTACTTGTGCTGGGCGTGGAGGTGCCCATAAGAGGCCAAGCTGCAAACCAAGGCCAGCTGCTGCTAGTGCCAGGCCTGGAGTCACTTAGCAAGAGGTATGAGGTACACAGAGGCTAGATGCTGCTTGTTTGAAAGATTTTAGGAAAGTCCAAAGCATGAAGCAAGAGAGATCATTTGTATGGAAAAGCCACTGGAAATAGCTTGGGTGGGCCGGAAAGTTGGGTAGGGCAGAGTCTCAAGGAATCATCAGGGTGGGGCTAACAGTATTAGCAAGATTGATGCAGACTCAGATATGGAGCCCACCTTTGGGCTCTGGAGGGAAGAGCTCAGCAGGGGAACAACGTCCTCTGCCAGCAGTTCTGTCTGGGAGAAAGCTGCCCCCCTAGCTCTCCCTGATGCCAGACAATTTAGTTGCTCCCTGTATGTCCCTGGTGCCTTTTGAGCTGCTGCCCCAGTGCTGGAGCTCAGAGCAAGTGAGTCTGAGTTAGTCTGTGCGTGGGCCCTTTAAGAGGAACACCTGCAGGGACTCATAGGAAGGACTAAGCCTTAGACCCTAACCGCTCACTCTTAGTTTCTAATCTGTAAAATGGAGAAACTGGAGCAGACGACCTCCAGCTGAGAGAGAAATCAACCCTGTGCAACCCTTTCTGCCAAGTGGATCATGGTGAATGATGGTAGGCCAAGGCAGAGTCGTGTGGGTGAAAACAAGGCTCAGAACCCCCTCCCTGCTCCCACACCATGCCAGCTACATCCCCAGTATCACAAGCCTTGGAAGGCTCCCCTCTCCCAAGCTCTTGGGTGGGATTTGATGTGAAAGCAAAGGAATCTTTGGTACAGCTTTCCATTTCTGATGTTTGGAAAAATAAATTCTAAGCTCTCCCTTTTCTCTCTGCAGTATGCTTTTATGTTGTACTTTTAAAATTTATATATTTATTTATTTTTAATTTTATTTTTAAAAACAATTTTATAATTAACCTTCTGGTGATTTCCAGAGTTTTATTTATTTTCCACAATAGTTTCTTTCCCCCTCCACTAATGAAAGAAATTGACGACACAGAGGACTTAAATAAAAATGCCTAATTACTTATTTGCCCAAGAGAGCAGAGCAATTATGCCTGCAAAACACCCGGCATTTTATTACCCTCTGTGAAATATTTTAATTTTCCTCTAAAAGGATTTCAAACAATCCATGGCTGCAAATGGCAGAGCTGCCTCCCCCATAATTCAACATAATTCAATTTGTTTCTGTGAACATGAGCTCTGAAATCGCCTACATGCATTACCAAGAAGCAGGGGCCCATCCTTTTCTCTTTTTGTTTTTTAAATCTTGACAAACCCAGAGGTTTTGCTATTTCCAAGAGTCTTTTCATCTCCAAGGCTCCAGTTCTGTAAGGGAGTTAAGGTGTGGGTATTGTTCTGTTTTGATGGACAGGAAGCAGGCCCAGGAGGGAAGTGACTTGTTCATGGTCACAGACCTGCAGACGATAGGCCTGGGGCTTTCCCCAAGCCTCCTGACTCCCTGAGCAGGCTTCCCCGTGTGGGCACTGAGCCCTTTAAGAGGGCTTGGTGCAGCCACAGCTGTAACTTTGAGAGGACAATTCATGTTCCTGTTTTGGGATATTGGGGAGTAAATACATCCAAGATCAATAAATGATGACTTAAAAAACTACAAGTTATAAATAACATCTGCAAAAGCGAGATTAAAAAATATAGCTGGCATGTATCACCTCACACCGATTAGGATGACAATTACAAAAAAATAACACAGAAAACAAATGTTGGTAAAAATATGGAGAAACTGCAACCCTGTGCACTGCTGGTGGGAATGAAAATGGTGCAGCTGCCTTGGAGAACAGGATGGTGGTTCCTCAAAAAATTAAACGTGGAATTACCATATGATCCAGCAATTCTACTTCTGGGTATGTACACGGGGACTTGAAGAGATATTTGTACACACATGTCCATAGCAGCGTTATTCACAAGGGCCAAAAGGTGGAAGCAACTCAGGTGTCCATCGACAGATGAATGGATAAAGAAAATGTGGCCTGTACACATGAAGGAATATTATCCAGCCTTAAAAAGGAAGGGAGTCTGACACGGCTGCAACATGGGTAAACCTGAGGACATTATAAGTGAAATAAGCCTGTCACAAAGGAGAGACACAGTAGGCTCCAGATACCTAGAACAGTCAAATTCATAGAAATAGAAAGTAGAATGGTGGTTGCCAGGGCTGTGGGGAGGGAGAAATAGGGAGCTAGTGTTTGATGGGCAGTTTCAGTTTGGGGAGATGAAAAGTTCTGGGTTGGATGGTGGTGACGATTGTAGAACAATGTGACTTAATGCCACTGAACTGTGCACTTAAGATGGTTAAGATGATACATTTTATGTTAAGTGTATTTTACCACAATTTAAAAAAACCCTAAAAAATCTCCCCAAACAACCCAATAACTGTAGCGTGACACACTGCAGCAACTGCAACACGATGCTGTTTCTAAGAGCATCTCAGAAAACGCCTTTCTGCTCACTGGCTGTGCCAGGTGGCCTTGCCTCCTCACTGGCTCCTGATGCCTGGAGGGACCAGCCAGCCTCCACAGCAGCACAGTGACCATTTTTTGAATACCGACTCTGCTCACCACTTCATTAAGCTCCTCATGTGTATCACCTGGTTGTGGGGGGCAGGCTGCTGTTATTCTCACTTTACAGTTGTCCACACGAACGGAGGCCCAGAGAGGTGAGGCCACCCTGCTGGTAAGTGGGCAAGCTGGGATTTAACCCCAGGCGCTCCGGGTTCTGAGCCCCCAGCACGTGCTCGCCCAGCAGCCCTGCCTCTGCCCTGGCGTGTGCGGTTGCTCATTAACTAGGTGGCTGGTTGGAGAACGGTGGAGAGTCCGTGGCGGGTGGGTGGGCTGTGTCTGCCTAGC